TTGTCTTAGGGAATACGACGGCTGGGAGCGTATTTGGCGTGTTGCTTGATTAGCGTGACGTGGCTAGGAAGGGCAGAGCAGAACGACACTGCCTTGCCCAAGTGTCCAAGCTGGCCTGGTTGGTTGACGATCGACGGAGGTTGTCGATGGGACTTGCCTGGGACGGATATGAGGTGCCGTTGCCGAGTAATCAGGAATACCAGGTCCAGGATATGGGGATCAGCGGTGTAATGGGCCAGCCTAGCGGGCATTTCTGGCCTAGGGACAGCACCAGGAACCGAGCCGTCCAACCGCCATCTCTAATTGCCTCGTCCTTGGTCGCTGATGATGAGGGGCAGATCCGGATCTGGGACTAGTGATGGAGGGGTTGAGGGGCTCGTCTGAGGCCAATCCATCTGCGATACCTTGTTCAACAGCAATTGGCCTTCCCTGGGCAAATAACCTGGTCCATTTGTCAGCTGTGGGACCAGAAGGAGGCTCCTTCGCTTGTGCGGCCGTGGTTGGCCATCAACGCGGGACAGCGAGAGGGGACGGGCAGGTTGCCTGATGGTTGTGCTTGGGCTCACGCTTGTGCTGTGCTGTGCTGTACCTTCCTCCTGGCGGTAGATGCTGGGGCGTGCTTTCGTTTCGTTTCGTTTCCAGACGGGGCTGTCGAGGCTGTTTGGGTCCGGGTATAATAGTTCCCCTCTTCCTCTTCCTCTTCCACCTTCTCCTCGCCTACCATCTCCATCCTCATCTCCCATCCACCTTGAACCAAGAAACACCAGACACCTTCACACCTCTCCCTCCACCCACCCACAGCACAAGATGGTCTACTCCCTGTACGACGCCTCCATTGGCCAGGCCAACAACATCCTCGACGCCTTCATCTCCATCCTGGCCAAGGTCGAGGCCTCGCCCGCCGCCGCCACCATCGCCACGGCCAAGATCCACGAGAGCATGCTGCCCTTCAGCTTCCAGGTGCACTTCGCCTCCGTCCTCGCCCACAAGCTCTCGGCCCGCCTGCAGGGCCAGCCCCCGCGCGAGCTCGAGTACAAGAACCTCGACACGGTCGAGCAGATGCGCGCGCGCCTCGTCGAGGTCAAGGCCGAGGTCGAGGCCGTCACCCGCGACGTGGTCAACGGCCGCGAGACGGAGATCGTCTCGCTGGGCCTGGGGCCCGGCATCCCCGAGGCGCAGGTCGAGGGCTGGCAGTACGCGCACGGGTACGCCATCCCCAACATGTTCTTCCACGTGACGACGGCCTACGACATTGCCCGCAAGGAGGGTGTCGAGATCGGCAAGAGGGACTTCATCACCTCCTTCATCGGCAAGTATGTTGCCAAGTAGAGGAGGATAGAGTATGAGAGCGATTCCGGGCAGTCTTTTGGGGCTGGGAAAATAATGAAAAGTGAAATTGAGATAAACTTTGACCCTACCTTTCTGTGTCCTTTATGACTGTGAAGACGACCTTGTAGTTGGGGTTGGTTCGTAGTATATGGTGACGTCGATGTCGTAAGCAGCCTGTCTTGGCTTATGGACTTTGGTTGATATCAGGCATGATGTATGGATTGATGATAGGCTATCCTGACTCGAAAGAAAACAGGGAATACCTAGTTCCCGGAGAAGAGAAAGAGGAAGGGAGGGTGATCGGGGAATGGCGAGATGGCATGGTATTTAAGCCAGTCGCTGGCAGCATGGGATCGAGCACGCCATCGCCATCTTCACCACTAACAGCGTCTATTCTAGTGGTGGGTGGCCGCTGTGGTGCGCAACTCCGGCGATAACCCCCAGCGCTGCTCCGAGACCGAGACTCCGGCGGGACATTTCACTGGTGCTGGTTAACCTCAGGCAGCCAACAATTGATTGTCCAATTCTCCAACCACAACCGACATTACAGCATCGCATCTGCAACCCCTCATTCTCCTGAACCCTCATTCTCCTCGCCACCTCTGCAGTTATTCTCTGCTTGCTCTCTCTCAACTCGACCCGACCATTCCCAACGTTGTCATCCTCCACCATCCGTCATGGCTTGGCAATGGTATATTCTCCGAGCTATCCAGTCAATGGAGGTACGCACTCATCTACCTTTCCCTCCTTCTTCACCAGACTCTCTGCTGACATTGTGCACTATCAAGGACCGAATCATCGAGCTCGTACGCCGTCGCGCCGCCTCTTTCCCAGCTCCTCATTCCCCTGCTAACCCCAGTCCCAGATTCTCCGCCAGCCAGGCTTCCACCGCGCTGTCGGACGTATTCACCGAGCCGTCCACGAGCAGAAATACGGCCGCACCGAGCCAGTCCAAGGCGAGGCTACAGGTATGCGTGGTCCTCATTTCATTCTACAAAGATCCTCGAGAAGCTGACTAGTACTGGGCAGCCGATCCCTCCGCTCCGGGTTTCCTGAAGCACTTTCGCGACGAGATCTCCAACCAATTCCGAGGCAAGCCGAGCGACGTCGGCCCCAAGAAGTGAATGACGATTGTACTTGTCCCCGACGAACGAGCGAGGCGAGGCCGCAGTGGCAGATGTTAATTGATTCAACATTACGAGCTACCAGCAATTACGCCATTGGTTCTGTCGAATAGCAACTGTGCTCAACCTCTCGCCAGATTGCCCACCAGCTATCCAGATATCCTCGCCATCTATTACAAGAACCCAGACACCCTAGTCCCCCTTCGCGGACAACACCGTCTCGATCTCCCGTCTATCCTGCCACCCTCCATCCACGAACGAAAACTCAAACAACCGAGTGCCCGCCCGCACAAGAAGCGTTCTCTCGTCCGTCATGGCCATGGCCTCGATGTCGGCCTCTTCTACCTCGTACGACACCATTGTACTGCGTGCTTCTGTCGCCGAAGTCGTAGTTTCCGCCTCGGCTCGCTTCGAGTCATCGAACTCTTCGACGAGGCGATGATCATCGATCGTAGATCCTTCCGCACCGAGGGTGAGAAATCCATGGATGGTTGGTGGAACATCAGTACTGGGATGGAGCAGCGTCCAGGTAAGCTGAGTTGGGTGGTTGGAGATCTCTACCGGCTCGCCATCTGCGTCTGCGCGAAGGGACGTCAGCAAGAAACTATGTTCGGAGAGAGGGCTTGAGGACCACATACTCGTAAAAACTCCCTCCAACCATCGGCACTCGCTGCCGGCATTACCGCTCTTGGACGAATCATTGATCGAGCATTCTGCGACAAGTGCTTCATCCTCACCCTCCATTAAAACATACACTCCCACTTCGCCGGTTTTGTTTCGATTGCTGGTGCTGCCTAGAGGGACACCACTCGCTATCGACAGCCCGATGGCGCTCCATCCGTCGGTATCAAGATTCAAGAGCTGTGTTACATCGATGATCTCTTCACCCGAGTCGGCGCCATTTCCATCTCCGAGGACGAGCAAACATATCTCATTCTCAGGGCTCTGAAATCCAAGCAGGACTGCCTGTGTTCCATTCCCGCTCTGATGCCATGTGGCCGACAGGGATGAGTCTCCAGTCACATCGACCTGCTGCCCCCTCGACTCCCACTCACCTGCTTCCCGCTGCACAAGATGGGACACTGAGGTTGTTTCGTCCCCGTCCCCATCCCGATCGCTTGCGACATAGAAGACGTGAATGGCGCCGCTACCATCAGCGGCGGCCGCGAGATGGGTGCCGGACTTGGCTTTAATTCCCTTCTCGGCAAGCTTATCACTGACGCGATACACTTTTGACTTGCCGTTGGCTGAGTCACGGGCAATGATATTTGCGTCCTGATCTTGCCAGACGATGAGTCTTCGGTGGAGGTTGGATGGGCCCAAGGTAATATCGACCGCTGCAATATTAGAGATGTTAGAGAGGGAGGGAGGCAGCAGACTGGGGCTGGGGCTGGAAGACGATGAAGATGTCTGAGTAGAGGATGAGGAAGTGGATGTGCTCGAGGTTGTTTTGGAGGATGTCTCTGAGCTTGATGGCGCGGAGGTGGTTGATTCATCTGCGGTGACGGTCACCACCTCGGTCGTGAAGATGGGAAACGGCGAGAGCATCGAGGATAGCATCTTGCCAATGTCCTGATCGGACTCTGTCTGCGTAGCCGTCAGCGTAATCACTGTTGTTTCTACCGCCTTGGACTCCTCCGATTTCGTGAATGTGACGGTGACTATCGAAGACACGACCATCGTATGAGGTGGTTCTGTCGTTGATGTCGTCGAAGCCGAGCTGGACGTCTCTGATACACTAGAGCTTGTAGTCGTCACCGGCGGGGGCGTGCTCGCTTCCTGGTCATGCTGGCGGCTGGATTTCTGCTTAGATATGATGATCACGGAGGCGACGCCGGCGCTGATGGCGATGAGGAGGAGGGTGGCGATGGCGACGGAGATGTAGAAGCATCGCCGGCGGCGGTACCAGGCGATGGGGCGCTGGTCGTCCGCCTGGATCTGATAGAAGTGGTTGTGGATGCCGTCGTCTTCCTGGGGGTAGACCGGTGGCGAGGGGGGCTTTGGGCGGGAGGTCGCCATGATATGGTCAGAAGCTCACAGGATGGTGGGGTTTATGTCCATTCGTTTGAAGTCGGGAGCAGCTCTTTGGGAACGACATTGAGAGATGGAGAAGGTTGGCGGAGAGGGAGTTTCTGGGGAATAAAAAAAGGAGGCGGGACGGGTGACAAACCTGATGTTGGGAGGATGGACCGCCATCATGGACATGGCGGTCGGTTACTGCTGAATGGAAGATGAAGCGTGGTGATTCAAAGGTTTTGCGGTGTTGGGGGGACAGACGAGGCTGGGGGGAACCGGGCTGAATATATAACAAGGCTGTCTGCTATTCGATGCGCTCAGAGGATCGAATGTTTGCGCTTTCGACACCCATTCACCACCGATAGGTATGACACAGCCGGGGATCTTTCTAGCAGCAATTCAATTCTCATTTACAGGTTTGTCATCTATCTGTCTGTCCTTTTGTCTATTGCAAAAACAATGCGTTTACAGGCCCCATCTGTTCAGTGTTTCCAGTGTAATGCCTGCCTCTCGTTTTCGTTTCCATCCATTCTAGTCCTCGGATAACTCGGTGTCGACCTCGTCAAGGAACTTCCACGCCGGGACCTCCTTGATCTCGTTGTCGGCCTGCGTCCACCACGCCGTCTCCCGGGAGAACTCGAGCAGCTTGCCCCCCGACACGGCGTAGAGCAGGCCGTCGTTGGGGGAGGCCACGCTGGTGAAGTTGGCGGTCCCGTTGCCGGGGGGGAAGGTGGCCGTCTCGTTGGTGACGGCGAGGTGGCTCGTCCACTTGTTCCTGCGCCAGAGGAGCTCGGTCAGGCTGCCGCGCGCGTCGAGGACGCGGACGACGTAGCGGTCGGCGGGCCACTGGGTCTTGTCGTCGTCGCCGGTCTCGACGCGGAGGGAGGCCAGGCGGAGCGGTTTGGCCATCTCGAGGACTTCCTCTTCGGCGGCGGTGTCTAGTTCACTCCTTGTTAGCTGTCTTTACGGGCTATGGAACGGGAAGTGTGCGCAGTGGGTGGAAGCTGCCTGGCCTTACCTTCCCACTGGTTCGAAACCGTGTTGCACTTCTCGAGCTTGTGCTCCTTGGTGAAGAAGCAGTCGAGGATGCCAAAGGTGGATTTGTGCGACGAGTTATCGACGTCCCAGATGATGCGGAGACCCGGGGAGCCGCGCCTGTTGAAGGGCATGACCAGGAGGCCCGGGGACTCGGGATGGAGCTCGAGGCCCATGTCCCCGACGCCCAGGGCGAAGGACTGGGCGGTCCAGGACTGCGGGTCGTCGGGCTGGGTGCTCGTCACGAGGGCGAGGGAGTCGTTGGCCGCTCCCGTGTGGTAGGCGAGGAGGACGCAGTCCTCCTCCACGCCCGGCCAGTCGGAGGAGAAGGAGGCGACGGAGAGTCCGAGCGTGGTGGAGGGGATCAGGTCCGGCTGGGAGCTGACGACGAGGGAGCCGCGCTCCCAGGAGACGGGCTCCTTGTTCCTGACGCGGCGGACGATGTGGGCGGGCCGCAGGGCGTCGTCGAAGTAGAAGACGTGCAGGTCGCCGCTGGGGCCGAGGGTGACGGTGTGGAAGGGGGAGTGCTCCATGGGCTTGGGGGGCTTCGCGTCGCCGAAGCGGTTCTTGAGGAGGTAGACGTCGCCCTTGGAGCCCTGCCACTCGATGGAGGCGAGCTCGCCGTCGGCGTTCTGGAACAGGACGAGCGTGAAGCTGGAGACTGAGGTGCCGACGACTGCGGCGGCGAGCTGGGAGGTGGCTCGGATCTGGACGTTGGAGTCGCCGTCCAGGCTGTGTTCTTGGGCCGATGCATCTGAGTCTGAGGAGCCCGAGCCATTGTTTTGCAAAACGCCGCTGCCAAAGAGGCCACCGAGGACGGCGCCGGTGACGAGCAGCAGGATGAGGATCGGGACCACAAAGTAAGCGACGCGGCGGTTGGCACGGGTGGAGGGCAGGATCTGGCTGAGACGCTCTCTGGCGCTGGATGCGGTCTGGCGGCCAGTTTGGTTTGCACCTCCCTCCAAGTCTTCGTCCTGGTCTTTATCATCGTGATGGAAGTACGAAGGAGGCTGCGTCACCAACTCAGGGAGGTTGTCAACGTCCACAAGAGGCTGGCGGTATGCAGGCTTTGGCCAGCCCGCTGGGTAGGCGTTGGGGCTGCTCATAAAAGGCCCAGGAGGGGCGACAGGAGAGCCAACAGGAAGGGCGTTGGGATGGTTTGTAGGATAGTTTGTCTGATAAGCAGAGCCTTCAGCATGACTGGCGAAGGGTTGGTTTGCGTGTTGGACAGAGTTGGCAATGGCGTAGATGTTGTTGTGATTTGCGTCTTGACCAGAGCTGCCAGGGGGATAGGCGTTGGGATGGTTGATGGGATGGGCAGAGTCGCCGCCTGGAACCAGGCTTGAAGGGTGCCCATTAGGATCATCCCGAGGGGAAGAGGGCGGCGGGGGTGAGTTTGGCTGGTTTGGACCGGAAAAGTCCATGGTGATGCCAGTTTCCGCGAGTGGCAGCTGGCAGAGGATGATGGCGATGACGAGCGGTGATTATGAGCAGAGTCGTTTGAGTAGGGAAAGGTGTTTGGTTTCAGCCAAGGATGGAGGATAGGGAAAGCAGAAAATCACGACGAGCAAGAGGAAGAAAGTGATTGGGAGGAATTATGAATTGCGCGCTGCGTGTGCGTGTTGTTGTGCTGTGTTGTGTTGTGTTGTGAGCTGAGGGCTTGGTGAGCGATGAATCGGGGGCGGCCAGCTGCAGGCGGCTGCGAGCCTCTGGCCAGCACGGAAACGATTCACTGGCATTATTGTTCGTGCCTGACAATAGGCAAGACGCACGCCTGCTTGGCCGCATTTACCCAGTCGAACGATACCGCAGAATAGGGAACAACCACATGCACTCAGAGTGACTGACCTGGGCGGCCGCGTGTATTTGGGGCATTGGGCTGGCATTCTGGAAATGGGAACACAAAGTGAGCTTCGGGGGGCACAGATATTAATGTCCGCTTGAATACGACCTGATTACGAGACTCTGCGCTTTGGAATGGCCAATCCAGACGGACGGCCTGCCGCCCGGCGATGGCAGGCTGCATGTCTCTTGGTACATGCAGGATTCGGGAGGAGGAGAGTGGCCAGAGGTGAGGCTCAGCACAGCAGCGTCTCCCACGTGCATGTGCTCGCTTGTCTTGACCCGATTCGACCCAGTGGGCCATCTCCTCCTCCCTCGACTTCCATTCTGCCGCTCTGCTCGGCTTGTGTCACGTTTGCTGTCCGACGGTGAAGCATCTCAGGCACGTGGCATGAACGGGGCATCACACTACCCTATTGAGCCTCTGATGTGGAAGTGAATATATATTCAGAGTAATCGCCACAATGTGGGTTAATCAATGGCTACTGCGTGGTGTATTGTCTACATGTTGTGTTGATTGTTCAGTTCAATTCTATGATCAAATGGTAGAGTGAGTGGTGATCATCGGTGCTTCTTTTAATGTCCTCTGATTGGCTTTGATAAGATAAGAGACTGTAGCCCGAAGAGGAAGTCAGGTGAGTGACTAAGCATGTGCATGTGATCGACTGGCGGGTACCTGAGAATCATAGGGCTTTGCACAAAACCACAGGTACCTGCCTGAACGGGTCCAAGGTGTGTAATATTTGTCCAGGGTCTGAAAACAACACGAGCTCCAGCGACTGGCTGCTGATGGCTTCATTCGTGTAGAAACGTCACGGCTCACTGCACACCGCCGCACGGCAGGGACAAGATAACAATGACCTTGGTCCTTTGACATCGGCTCTGGAAAGTGTAGTCATCTCTTTGGTTCTCGAGGCAGTGTTTCTCGGCTCGCTCGTACCAATTGATTTACCTAGAGTCTTCGGAGAAGTGAAGCAGCAAGATGTGAATCAGCTGCCTGCGTCACCACCCTGAGTAGCTGCCCTCATATCCGCAACGACGACCCCAGACGCAGCATATCGCAGTTCTCGACATGTCTGCTCAGCTTAATTCGAATTCTGTCCCCAGCCCCGGCCGTCGTGTCAAGTTCGTTGCTGTCGACACGACCCGGGGAGGCTTGCCAGTCAAGCGGAAACAAGTCCAGCATGCCTGCGACTCGTGCCGCCGTAAAAAGGTTCCGTTCATCGCTCAATCCGCTCTTTTATTTTTCTAGTTGCAGCTGGCTGACCAAGGTATAATCCGTCTATAGAGGCGATGTGTGCATGCTCACGATTCGGCTACGGCCACTGATGAGTCAACGCCAGATCGGACCCCCAAGGTTGTCACTCAATCATCAAATGTCGGCCACCAAACCTTGTCCTCCGCCAAGAGGAACTCTTCAAGCTCAGATGCCACCGCGATCGCCGACCAGCCTGGCTCTGAGCCCCCACCAGCAGCCGCAGGCCTGGGGCCATCACCAGTCACTGTGGATTCCCAGACGACTGGCTCGCCCGCCGTGCGTTCTCGATTCTTCGGGGACCTGAACCCCGAGGGCATGTTCCTGGAGGCCGCCGGGTCTGTTGCGAGTCGGGAAGTAATCTCCAAAGGCGACGTTGGTGTCTGGCTCACCTCGGCCGGCGTGGGCAATGGCACCTCGCAGTTTATCACAGCCAGACCGCCACTGGCCATGGACCGCGTGCTCCTCCCCTTTGTGAAGAAGCACTTCTTGTGCCTCTTCCCCCCGGACCGTGATTTCGAGAAACTCAAAACCTTGTTCGTGCAAAAGATACATCCTCTCTTCCCCGTGGTGCCCATCGAGTGCCTCTCCGGCGCATTATCCGACCCAACCACCGTTGTCTTGAGGCAACTTGTTTCTTTGGCTGCGGGCACCGATCCAGAAGCCTCTCAGAATCTTCGTTTGGGGGACGCGCCGTCTGTTCTGCTTTCTCCTCAGGAATTTTCCGAAAAGCTGTCCTCCGCCGTACGTGCCATCCTTGAGACGAGTCTGATTCCCGATCGTATCCTTCACATCCGTGCACTGGCTATGCTCTCTTTCTACACCCAACCAACATGTGCAGAGGAGGCAGATTTACCGGCTCTTCTTGGCGGGAGAGCCATACATCATATCCATACTCTAGGACTGCACCACTTGGTGCGGTACCAGGGCCCTAATAGCGACGACCTGGAGAACCTCTACTGTGCCGTATGGGCCATGGATCGCATCAATGGAGCCATGTACGGCCGCCCGTATCTCATTCACGAACGCGATACTGCTGCCAACATTGACGAAATCATTAAGAGGCGCAGCCCTTGCTTTCGCCTCTTCTTATCAGTCGTCCAGTGGCTTGACCAGGTCGTCGACTTGTATCGCCCAGGGCTAAGCTCAGACGCCATCAGTATGCAAAAGGTCGCGTACATAGATCTTCCCGTCCTCGAGGCCATGATTGTCGAAGCAGATGCCTTGCGCGTCCCCCCAAACCTGATAGGTCCGCCTGCCACTCACTCTCCATAACCATGACTTTGGCCGCCAGCTAACATCTCCGCAGCTACGATCGAAACCTTTTATCATTCCGTGATTATTCTCTCCTGTCGCCTCGCTCGCCCCGGCACAATATCGGCAGCTTCGACTCTGCCACCGCCCTCTGCGAATGCCCGGAGATCCCTGGCCGCCGAGCGTATTGCTTTTGCCGTGCCCAGAGACTGTCCGAGCTCCCTCCCCTTCATTCCGTACGCCGTGTCCCTCGCTCTCAGCGTCGAGTATCGCAAGATGCGACACAGCCGATTACCAATGTTTCGCGCCAGGGCCATGAACTCGTTCAAGCGCAACTGCCAGCTGCTGAGGCAGTTTGGCGACTTCTTCTGGAGCGCCAATGTGTTGGCCGGCCTGGGCGAGCGAGTGTTGCGCGAGATGGAGCGCGCAGCAACAACACTCACCAATGAGACCGCTCCGGCCCAGGGAGAACCACACAAGGACCCGATGTCTCAAACTTCGGATGACCAGGGGCGGACTCGGTCAAGCGAGCAGTCCACCAACGACTCGGCAGCCATTAACGTGGGCTCGGGGCTGGACAACATGGTTGACTTCTCCATGATGGATCCCATTTCCGGCCAGGACATATTCGGCCTAATCGACCCAAATTTCAACCTCAATGCTGTAGAGGATGCACTAGAAGCCAATCTCGACATCGGTCTACCATTGAATCTGGGGGACTGGGGACAATACTCGACCTGGGAGCAGCAGCAGGCACCTGGTGATTCCACATAGCTCGCCCGACTCACAGTTCCCCGCCGTGTATCATCACAGGGAGGCCGCCAACCCAGCCATTAATCGACATGCCGGTTGATTTGGCCTCTGTTCTCAAAGTTTGCCAAGTAAGGCAATTGCTCGGCTCTTGCCACACGTGGCACGCCCTATCCCATGACGAAATATACCACTCAGTCTAGCCTTGCACACTAATATGATGACTTCTTGTCTGAGTATTTGTCGATCAAAGGGGGATTTTTGCAATGATGAACCAGTTGTGTCATTTTATCTGTGGAAGCGGAAGCAACACTTGTCAAATTGAAACGAATGACGGGTCTGATCATGACGAGAGCCTTGGATTTTGCGGATCTCAAGCGCTTCCGCTTTGTTTGATAATGAAATTATAGACGCTCAATGAACATTGAAAACAAAGTATCCATGTCACAATTCACATGCTCCAACTCCAAACTCCCATGTTCTATATCAAAATATCCCCATACCCAAAATGCCGAGCCGGTTCTATTGTGCCCATAGAGTGAATATAATATAAAAAAAAAAGATCAAAAGAAATCGGGGTCAGTCTCGTAAGGGGGATAGTGAAAAATAGACGCTATACACCGTAGCGGACAACCCTCCTCTGGTACCGCTTCTTCTCCGCCTCGTCGTCCTCCTCGGGGTAGTTGGGCGGCTTGACGACGGCGTTCTGGCAGCTGTCGCGGCCCTCGGTGTCCTCGTCCTCGTGGAAGGGCAGCTGGTCCCTGGAAATGTCGATGGTCGGCCGGCGGAAGCGGTTGTACGCGATGAAGGTCTGGTCGTCGCCCGCGACGGCGTTGGTCGGCGGGGCCATGCAGAGCGACTTGCGGCGGATGGTGACGGCGTCCTCCTGGATCGGCTTGATGCCCATCTGCCGGTAGAGGATGCTGAGGAGGGGGATGGAGAGGCCGTGGATGATGATGGAGAAGACGACGAGGAAGTAGATGGTGATGGGGAGGGCGCGGATCAGGCCGTCCTGCTCCGGGTCGCCCTCGCCCTGCTTGGGGACGACGTGGCGGATGTGCTCGACGTAGAAGACGGCGCCGATGCCGATGGGGCCGAAGTAGCCCATGAAGAGGGCCTCCCTGTAGTTGGCGATGACGCTGGGCATGAGCTTGTACAGGAGGAGGATGGCGGGGATGCGGCGGAGGGCGAGGACCATGACGCCGAGGAGGAGGAGGCGCCAGATGGTGATGCCCGTGCCGTCGGGGTCGTGGAAGGAGGCCCAGGGGATGACGGAGCCGATGTACATGAAGCCGCCGAAGTTGAGGAGGACGTCGAAGCAGC